GTTTTATATATAATTTCTCGCCTATCTATCTTCGTATATATCTTCGTTTTACCATATCTATCTATCTATCTATCTATATATCTATCTATCTATCTATCTATCTCAGTCTAATCATATCTATCTTAACTCTGTTATATATATATATATATATATATATATATATATATATATGTATCATTTCCTATATATCATCGTATGTATAATCGTTTTTTTATATATATATATATATATATATATATATATATATATATATATATATATATTCATAAGCATCTATTTCAGTCTCTTAATATCGCTTCATCAGAAGTCTCTTTGTATCTCTCTCTGTCTTTTCATGCCTATCTATAAGATTCATTTATAACTCTCTTTTCACATGTATCTTTGTTCATATCTAAATTCGTCTTTCCACATCTATCTATCTATCTATCTATCTATCTATCTATCTAAATATATATATATTCATTTCTCAATCTATTAATATATCTGCATCACAAATCTTTTCTCGCCTATCGGTGCCCATCTATCTAGCTATGTATAAGTTTGTTAATAACTTAGTCTGGTCACACTTCTTTCTGTTCATATCTATCTGGTTATCTCAGTCTCTTTATATGCATCTATCTCTTTATCTATTAATCTATCTGTCTACATTAATATCTATTTCGCTATGCATCTATCTATCTATGTTTATGTCTATTTCTGTCTGTTCATGCCTATGTATGTATCTATCTATGTATATTTATTTAAATATCTGCTCGAATGTGTGTCAAATTGTTTTGTATTGCTATTTATTTATTTTTCCTTACTCTCGATAACCACACTATATTTATCTGCTAAGCGCCTCTTATTTCTGGCATAAGGCCTCAAGATTGTGACACCAAGTAATACTCCTTGGAGTAAAGATAAAAATTGAAAGAATAGTCGTTATAATATCAACTGTTGTTCGGTCTATTATAGACATTGTTTTTTTTTATTACTATTGTGTTACCACTGAATTTTGACCTATCGTATCTACTGCCTTCCACCAAATTTAAAATCTGTAAGAATCGCGCAGAATTTCTTTTTATCAGAAAATAGTGACTTGATTCTAGTTTTAGTTGCCTCTCCATTGGAACAAACTTGATTCAATTTTTTTTTTCAATATGGCGTCCTATGTATTCGATTGTGATGACTCTAAACGTAAATGTTTAGTTCCTCCGGGTTTTACCACTAGCATTAGTGCGTGCTTTTCACCTAATATTATTAATGCAATGTGTAAGTGCTACCTACGGAGACGTATTCTCAGAAACTGGGCGTCCATTCTGCTTTTCTTCTCTGGAAAGAAGCACCCAGAAGCTGAATTATAGTTAGCTGCTACAGCATTATAGTGGAAAGTCGATTTTAAAGATTCAATCCTCCCATTTATGAGTGGGTAGTTTTAGCACCCTCGGTAATTCTATTTTTCAGAGCTTCTCAGGCATCATAGACTAACGTATTTGTGTGAAACAAAGAGTTTCTGCCTGGAACACAGAGCTTTGGAAAGGAACATTGAACGTTGAGGTTTTAGATAAAAAGAACAAAAGCTAGTATATTTAGCTACACCCCACGAGGGTTGTATGTGGCACAAGGCCGGTTTAAAGTGGGTTCTCCGAGCCCGTAGGCTCGGCCAAAAATATTCCCTTTCGAACTCGTATAAACGGGTTCAGGGGCAGTCTACCTCCCTGAACGAGACTCTGCCCTTCGGCGGAGCCTTGTCCGGGTTCCTCTCTGCTCAGAGGCAGAGAGTTTGACTGTTTAGCTGAAACAGGTCGCAGCTAGTCTCAGGACAAACGCTAGAAGCGAACAGGAAAGTTGGTAAACCGGTTCATATCATTCCAAGTAACTCGCGCCAAACAGGCGATTCCATTCAGCGGAGTATGTTCATATTTATTTATTTATTTATTTATTATTACGCGGGGGTACTCTCCAATTACATGCCTACTCTCTACCTAGATGTGATTCATCCTGACTTGTTTAATACGTCTCTCCGTTAGGACTTCCCTGGCGAGATTTTTCCCTGGTATCCCGATTGCATGAATTTAAGCGTGCCACTAGAGTACCATCTGGGCCGTACCGGTTTCCTGTTGAAATAGCTAAATGCAACCTCCACTTCTACTCCAATAGTTTCTTTCTCGCACTTCCCGCCTGTGGAATTCACTTCCGTTTACTTGCTTCCCTGATAACTACAATCTTCAAAAATGTAAATACAATATCAATCGCTATCTTCTTGAATCCCGTTCATTATTGTCCTTTCCTCAATCTTATCAGTTATGGGCCATACGTGATACACGCTTTCGATACATGACTGACGAGGCAGATTTTTCCCGCAGTAGGTTGCCATTTCTTTCTGCGGTAGACCAGTTGCCATCCAAGGCTACAGAACCCGGTCTGTCGTGCTATTTACCCATAGCTGGAGGGAGAAGAAGTGGATTCATACCCTTCCCAATGGTATTAGCACGTAAGTGAATGTATTCGACTGGAATTCGAACTCGGCTCTCCGATTCCTCAATCCGAATCGCTATCCTTTACCCCACCGTGCCTTTTTTTAAAAGAACAATTTTCCCTATACTCAGTCTTTTCTTTCACTTTCCCGCTCTGTAATTCAATGTGTACTAGTGGTACTCCCGCCTTGCTTAGCGTGAAAAGATTGTTTTTAAAAAATTTAATGAATACTGTTCCTTCTTTTAGTAGTTTATAGCTATGTGATCCGATTGTGACAATTTAGTGATTTTCTAATGATCAGATGTGGCACAAGACCGAGAATATGGGCCCCCCAGTGAGAATCGAACTCACTATTCAATTGTAATAGTTCTAACGTGACAAGCTTGCTAACCATTACACCACCTTGAGGTGCCTTAATAACGACAACGAGGCACCCTTTTGGTAGTCGATATAAAGCTCGAACCTACGCCATTCAACGCATTAGTACGACGTTCTAACCAACTGAGCTACCCCGCACTCCTAATGGCCGTATATTATACGACAATGAATTTCTCTTTGTTAATCGAGTCTCTATTGGAAAGATGATCATTTTAGAATGTTTGACAATAGCATCACAGAAAGTTAATGCTGCTTATAGTTCGAAGAATCTTAATAAACTTTATGTTAATGTTCCTTTACCAATCAAAAAAAGTACAATTTGAGTCTTACCGCCAAATCTGTAAATCACTCCGTCAATGCAGACGATCTCCTTCTTGCAAGGCGTTTATTTTCCCTCTCGAAAAATATCAATAAATTGACAGGAATTGATTCTATTGATTTCTGTTACACTGCGCGTCTCGAAGAATTAGACGTAGGAAGATCAATGAATTCGTAGCTTAATGATGAAAACATAATTTATTTTACAGAAGAAAATCGTAATTTTCTTTTCAATGTATTTGTTCTTGCAGCGCTTAATTCATTGCTGAATTATTAATCGCCAAGATCGAACATTATACAGGAGTAAAGAAGGCCAAGATGTTTAACATGTCGTAAAATCAATCAACTTCAATCAAACTTAAGTCATTGTACAGTGAAAATTTCAGATCAAAAGTCAATGAATAAATATAGACTAATTGATCGAACTCCTAAGTACGTATCAAGCGAGCCTTGTCTGTACCTAGAAGGGTGACCTTTTGAGAATACCAGGTGATGTAATCTTGGATGTACAGGTGGTGTAAAGGATAATGGCTCGGAATTGTTAACCGGAAAACAAAGATCCAATTCCAATTGGGTTTGTTATATTCAGTTACGCGCAAATATCCTTGAGAAGGGGATGACTTTTCTCCCCCCCCCCCCACAGCTATAGGTTAATTAGTAATACTTGTAACCCGTGTCACTAAATCATCAAATAAAATGCTTATAATCTAAAAAAAAAGATACGGCTTTAAATAACATGAAAATTGTTGGTAAGCCGTAGGAAACGATTTTAGTCAATCAACCAAGCATATTTCTGGGAGAGGGTAAGAGACGATGGACATGTAAATAGTAATTTAATTAACCAGATATTGCATTACCTCGAATAAGCGCCCGGTGGACTGAGATAATGGGCTTCAAAGGGTGGGAGCTTATTCGGCAGAAAGAAGCTTATTCAGGGTGAGATTTATTCGTTAGGTGCTTGTTGAAAATCAGTCATCTGTGAAGCAATTGGGACACTTATCATTTATAATTTACAATGATTCTTTTTTTTTTTTGACTTCAAATATAAATCAAAACAATACATTTTCAAATAGGCGTGGCGTAAATCAAGATTCATGATTCCTATGCACATTCGACAATTTCTCAAAGTTTCTGACAAAAGGCGTCAATATCCCAAAACCGATTAGAAGAACATTACCTGAAATTTGAGAAAAAATAATTGACTCGCGCATTACAAAACCCTAGCAAAGAGTAAAGGGACAATAGTAATGGGAATAGCTGCTAAAAAAGAAATCTAGATTGACATCAATGAAAATCGAGAAAATTGAAATGAAAATCTGCCCAGTATATGTTTAATAACGGTATATATATATATATATATATATATATATATATATATATATATATATATATATATTTGTGTGTGTGTGTGTGTGAAGAAATATAATTTCAAGGTGTGCTATATTTATGGCATAAAAGTGCTCAATTTCAAGGATAGAGCATATGTAAATGTAATTGAACATTGTCGTCACCACTCAGAGGCGCCAGACTGTTTCATACTAGACGCAATACGTTCAATTATATATATATATATATATATATATATATATATATATATATATATCTGTGTGTGTATGATAGGAAAATGAACAAGTACGAATCAGATCTCAATCTAACATGTTTCACTTTATTAAAGCTTCGTCAGAGATTATAAAGAAATGATAAAAATGATTAAAAGCAGAGCCGCAGATTAATTTTATGTTGTATTAGGTTATTTCATTGCTTAGATACGTGTCACGTGTATTGAAGTGACAGAAAATATTTTTGTGTGGCAAATATTCTCGGCGCTACAATGTGTAAAAGTTAGTATGATACAGTAGGATATTTTGATTGGATACGTGTCACGTGTAAAGAAGTAACAGATAATATTCAACTAAGTGTAAGAAAACATTCTGGATGTTAAAGTATGTAAAGTTTAGTGAGACACTGTAGAATATTTTGAACAACTTTTCATTGGATTATCTCTATTCATCTTTATGTATTCGGAAGAGATACGTGAGATTCATGAATAATGGATCTGTTGAAAAATGGTGACGTAATGTAGTTGTTTAAACGTGTGTTGACAGTTGCTAATGCTGCTATAAATATATTTTCATAATATTTTCTCTGTAAAGATTTATGTTTAACATAACTCTTTAAAGAGAAAATATTATGAAAAATATATTTATAGATTTATATTTATTTATATTTATAAAGATATTGGGTGCCATGTTTGCCACACATATTTAAATATTATCTGTTACTTCAATACACGTATCTAGGCAATTAAATAACCTAACACAACATGATCTATCTATCTATCTATCTATCTATCTATCTATCTATCTATCTATCTATCTTTTTTTAACAATTCACCCCAAGAAAGGCGGGAGTTCCATTAGCTCGCAAGGGGTTACAGAGGATTGAGAACAAGAGGCGTATTTGAGGAAAGGATACAGAGAAGGACTGAGAACAAGTTCAGTGTGTTATAGTTATCAGGGAAGCAAGCAAGAGGAAGCGAGTTCCACAGACGGGGAGTGCGAGAGAAGAAGCTGTTTGAGTAGAAGAGACGGTTACATTTAACCGTTTCGACAGTGAAAGGGTGGGACTGAGATGCCTGCCTGGTAGTTCGCTTAAATTCATGCAGTCCGGGAACCAGCAAAAGTAGCTTGTCAGAACAGTTGTCTTGAAAATACCTGTAGTAGAGACAGAGGGAAACCACGGCACGTCTGTGAGAAAGCTACTGTAGACAAGATACCAGATCAGGACCTATCTCATTGCATATTCGTCTTTAGATTTTATCGAGGACCTCGAGACGTACAGTGGGGGCACCAGATCATATATGACAGCAATATTCCATGCAAGGACGGATGGTTGATTTGTAGATTTGAAGGAGGGACTCAGACGAGAAAAACTTTGCCTCAACACAGAGAACAAACTTTCCTAGCAGTAAATGAAGCTATTGATTCAATGTGCTTGTTCCACCTCATTTCAGCGGATATCGTGAGATCAAGCAGGTGTGTCGATATATATATATATATATATATATATATATATATATATATATGCAGGATTCGATGGGTAAATTGACGGCATTTTATATTTTTATTGCTTGGCGCATTTCAGAGTGTATAGGTTTCAATCTTAGGAAAGTGCAGAGGATTCAAAAAGAGTTTAATAGTGATTACGAAGATGATTGGAGTGATCATTATTGATGGCGACGTTATACCTCCGTTCATCTTCCCACAGAGCTTCAGACTGAACATAGAGTGCCTTGAGGACGCTGCCCTGGGTCGAGAGGTTTTGCTGCTGGAAGGCCCATGTCCGACAACAGGACTCTGCACTGTATCACACAAGCAGGAGTACCCAGTCATGGCTCTCAGACAATTTCTGCGACCACATCACCCCTTGCATATGGCCACCTAACACCCCAGACTGCACTACCCGACCTTGATTATTATGTGTGGGCGCAGATGGGCGAGAGACAAAGAAAACTTCTTGTAATACCAAAGATGAAATGAAGGCAAGGATTATGGCAGCATTCATCAACTTAAACAAGGAAACCGTCCAGAAGAGTTGCAGGAGATTCCGAAGTCATCTGGAGGTCGTGTTTAGAGGCATTGGCGATTTTATTGAATAAATTGTCTCTGTAGAATTTCAAGATATTTTTGCTAAAATGAGATGCCAATGTTATTTTCATTTTTGCGTAATTTATCCATCCCACCATGCATATATAGCGTAGCCATTTTTTTTTATTCTTTAAACTGTCGTCGCCTGATGTGGAAGAGCGCTTATTCAAGGGGATGCTTAATTAAAAGTTACTTCTTGATGAGATTGCTTACTTAAGTGAGGCGCTTATTTGTGATAATGCATAGATTCGAGGAAATATTGGGTTGAAACTAAGGTTCATAGCGTGATTTCGTTTCACACGTGACTGGAATTAAAATTTGAAATTGAAAGATGACGCTTTATCACTTCTTTCTGCAGTGTAACCCGGATATAAGAGACCCGGATATAAGAGAAACCCGGATATAAGAGAGATTTTCTCTGGTCCCAAAGTGTTCCCATACTTACCTAAACAAAATAGACCAAACCCGGATATAAGAGAAACCCGGATATAAGAGACTTCTTCGGTCCCGACAACTCTCTTATATCCGGGTTACATTGTATATGATTCCCGTGAGAATTGTGAACTTAGTTTTTTCTTTCTCTAAAAGTGAATATGGTGGGAAAATAGTATGGTTTTTCGACATTGGCTTTCAAAAACCGATACTGTTCCGGCTGGCCTGCAATCGTTGTTGAAGATCAAAATGAAAAAAGTTGATTAAACTTAACCCAGGTTACAGAACACGGGGCATCGCAGAGATACTCCCCATATCTCATATGAGTGTTGTAAGTCATTTGAAAACATTTGGATGTATCAATCGTCAGGATTGTTTGGACAACTCACGATTTAACGACAAAACCATAATGGATCTCACATTTCTGATTCTCTGCTCAAGCGAAACAACAAACGATCCATTTTTGAAAAGAACGATCATAGGCGATGAAAAATGGATTATTTACAACAACATGGTGCGAAACATGTACTGGGGAAACCCAAACGAGCCACCGTTTACACCTACAAAAGCTAGTGTGTATTCGAATGTGATCCTGTGTTTTTTGTGCGATTTGGAAGGCTAAAGAGTGCAGCTTCCGCAAAATCAGTCGTTGAATTCAGACAAATACCGTTCCTAACTGGACTCATTAAAGAATGCAATCGATGAAAAAGCGTCCGAAATTGGCAGGAAGGGTTTTGTCTTCTATCAGAACCTGCAGAAAATGATGCAGCTTGGCTGGGATTCTTACTCTACTCGCCGAAATCAATAGACGTTGCACCTTCGGGTTACCACTTATTTCGACTCTTACAAAATTATCTTAATTAGAATGTCTTCAATTATCTGGAAACTACCAAAAACCACATAGACCAGTTCATCACACAGAAAGATTACAAGATATAAGAGAATGGAATCCTGACACTACCTAAAAATCCAAGTGTGTATAAGATTTACTTCTATCAACAACTGGATGAATTAAATCTATATGGTTTCATTTTAGTCTGACTATTTAAAGAATAAAAAATTGGCGCAATGGCATTTATTATGTTTGAATAAATCTGTGATCAAATATCTAAAAATGGTCTTTGAAATTCAGCGAAGAAAAGCGACAAACATTAGTCCAAATTCACTACGATATCTGCGAAAAAGAGTCTTACACCATCCATCAGTAAAGTAACGTTTGAGAAGAGAGTAGAAACAGACTATTAAGTGCACAAGAAATTTATTATACTGACAGGGGCTGATTAGGGAGAAGTTGTCTACGACGGTCTCACGGCAAACAATAACAGCATTGTCGCTAGTCAGCCTCATTTGTTGTGTCAGTCAAGTTTATCAGAGATCATAAAATGTAGAACACGTGTGACGTATATATTACTCACTGATAATGGCATGTGGCATGTGTATATATATATATATAGAGAGAGAGAGAGACAGAGAGAGACAAAAACACTCTGAAATGTTGCTATTGGAGCTTCCGGCACGAATACAAAGCAGCAGAGCATGGCGTTTCTAAATTTCTGGTGGAGTGAATTGCGCCAGGGTGTTCTTTTTCTCACACAGAGTGTTCAACTCATCCTACTATATTGTGCAGTCGATAAAATCCCAAACCAAACAACGCGCATGCGTGAAATTAAAAATAGAATATAGTGACAATTGCACCCTATCACTATATATATATATACACACACACACACACACACACATACACATACATATATATATATATATATATATATATATATATATATATATATATATATATATAATAAAAGGCTTAAACACTAATATTAGTGTTTAAGCCTTTTTATTATATCCTTACTCTGTCCTAGACATTGAGTTCTACCTGGATCCTTCCTCTTGGAAAAATTTTTTTCTGAAAATATACATTTATGGAAATTTTTTTAGATATATTTTTCATATGTATGTATATTTTCCACTAATATTATCTATATATATATATATATATAGCAAGAACCGCAAAATACATGCAAACGGGGACGCCAATAAAACCGAGAATGGAAAATTATATATATACTGTTATACGTTATTTTTGTAGATATAATTTATTTAAGTAAATGCTCTGTTTTTTTGTTTTATTTTAATTAAAAAGTATTATTTACATTTACCGGCCTGAATGATAGAGAAATTCCTCCGACAGGAATCGAACCTGTAACCCTTATGGTACACGTTACTTTACCTGACCTGCTGTTAACCATTCTGCCTCAGAGCGAGCAAAGTCTGAATTACAGGTTCTGTTTTTGTTGGTGAGTGCATATATTCTACGAAATTTCTCGAACATTCAGGCTAGAAAATGTAATTAATACTGTTTGATTAAAAACGGAACATTTACTTAAATAAATTATATCTATAATAATAACGTATAAACAGCAACTCTCTCTCTCTCTCTCTATATATATATATATATATATATATTTCAAAATTTAACAACCGCTTATAAATAAACATCGTGCTTAATGAAAAATGACGAGGCAAATTATTGCGGATGCTAAGTGCTATTATTTTTCTCGGCTATTTATATATACACATAAATACATTATATATATATATATAAATAGCCGAGAAAAATAACAGCACACGTGGCCTGACGATTGCATATAGCATGAAACAGACTGTCGCCTCTAAGTTTTGACTTCTATGTTCACTTTTATATTTACACACGCTCTATCTCTGATATTGAGCACTTTATCCCATACATATAGCACATCTTTAGACTATATTTCTTCATATATATATATATATATATATATATATATATATGTTTCACTAAATAATATGGACATATTGTGCCGTCATACTTTTCATACTGATAGTTTATACTGATTAGACAACTGGAAAGTATTAGCATAGAAATATACAATACGTCAATTTTAATGAAACATGTTTGACTGAAGATATACTGCCTAAATACACAAACACACACACATATATATATATATATATATATATATATATATATATATATATATATATATATAGGTTTATTGTTGATTATAGTAGTCTTTATGCTTTTCGTATTGTGAAGCACATTTTTGCTAATAAATGCACATGTTGGGTATGCATCGTCAGTACCTCATGAAATTGGACGTCTCTGCTTTACGCCATTATTTTTCACTTGGAATAAGGGATCGTAGTTTCTTTATTTCTATCCCTTTTTAATTTTTTTCTCTAAATTTAAAAAAGAATATGCTGATGGAAGTTGGTCCGTTTCAGGCAATTAAAAGGGAGCAGTTTCATTTTGAAGGCATTCAAATGAATAATTTCCATATTGTACTAT